GTTAACAAGTTGAATGTGGGACTTTGGTGGTAGGGAGTGAGTCTGAAAGGTAAGGAAAGAGTGGGAAGAAAAGAAAGGAAGGAAGATAGAGAAAGAGTCGAAAAAAAAAAAATTGAAATTACACCGTTCTTTGACCACCAAGGTCAATTAATAAATTTTCTATGGTAGACGAGACAAGTGTCCCAATTTCTTAGTTTCAAACTGAACAACCCTCTGAAAATTTCGGATTTCTTTCCCAAATAGAAACGCAGAGAGACCACTGGAGCATTTTCATATACATCTATGGCATAAAAACCTAACTCTACATGTAAACAAAAATGAACAACTACTGAGAACAATTTCTTCAGAATGCAACAGTAAGAAATTCGAAGCGAAAAAATCACGCGGAAAAACGGGTTAGCTAATATACATCGGTCAGGTCAAAAGGTAAAGCTTTCTGAGAATCTCTGGTTAATGTGCCATTACACTTAATCCCTTAGTAGTCGCAGCCCAGCACTTTCCGGGGGAGACTTTAATCCATGACGGAATATCATTTTTCCTTTCATTGAAAAGAGAAGGAAAAGTATATAAATGTAAAATGGCAATATCAATCAATATACGGATTTGACAGTAACTTGCGGACTATGACCATCTACCACTTACTTCTTCTTCTTCTTCACTGACTTCTCCGTTTTCACTGTAAATGAAGGGCATATATCCTGACAAAGACATGAACCACATTTTGGCCCAATCGGAAGACATATTTGTTGTCCAAAGCCAACAAGAAGAGGATTTATGGTTGTCCAGTGAGATCTTAACTTAACGAAGATGAAAATCCGAAGGAAGAGTAGCCAAGTCATCTATCGGTAATCAGATGAAGTACAATAGTTTAACTCGTATCTCACCTTGGCAGCATTTCTTGAAGCTTGACTCGGGTTTGCTCTGGTGTGCTTGTTTTCATCCAGCCTGAATATATTTATTAAAAGGAGCGATGACGATAGTTTTCAGGAGGTTGATAGGCGACGTGAGGGTGCTTAATGGTTCACCGATGACGAAAAAAGCAGAGAAATCCGAAAAAAAAACCGTCAAATAATACCCCTAATTTCCCCTTACATTTTCGACCACAGCTGAGCGGCGCTTAAGAAAGAGGTCGTCTGGACCTGCTAACGCGAGGTCGATTTCACGCCAACAGACATGACGCCTTGAATGACAACGCTTTACTCAGGCAGATGAGAAGAAACGACCGCTTAGAGTGAAATGTCCTTTTGAAACGAAGCAAGCGATGCCGCTAGTAGCAATACGGCTCGTCCAAATCACCAACTAAACTAGTGGGCGGATCGCTTTTAGGGCGGAGTGCTTTCGAAGTCCTGCTCAGCAACCAGCGCACCTTTCGTCGTGAAAGCGCCACACCTCGCTTCCTTGGCAGCCAAGTAACTGCTTCGAATGGACAAATATACTTCCCCAATACGCACAAGTTCCATCGTAATCACTTCCTCCAATCCACCGAAGCGGCGTAGCAGTGGAAAAAGAGAACTCAGAGGATGATGTTCGCAGTATTTGAATTGTTGTTCAGTTCGAATGTTCCTTTCAGCGATGAATTTCCCTACAGAATTCCCTGCAGGGTGGTTGCAGGCAACGCGTCTTCATCGCGCTCCCTGGTCTTGTTCAACGGTTCGCATACGCTATTTTATCTATCGATACTGCCACAGCTTGTAACACTAATTTACACAACTACTTCTACCGTTTACTAGACATATATTATGTCGTTGCATATCTAGCCAAACAATGTCTCTCAAAGCTGCACTAAGATAGATACGTAAGTGTAAAATTTCGCGACTGCAATCGCTGAGAGAGGGTGGCGTGATGATAGAATCGCGAAGGGGACGTGTCGTTTTAACCCCTCTGGTTTGCATTGCGGCGCCACGCCCCACCGGCGGCTGCATTAGTGAGATCTGACATAAGTAGACTGGCGCCAGAGTCTGCGATACAACGCGCAACGTATCGCAGACTCTGGCACCAGCCTTAGCAAACTTATCAACAGATCATATGACAACAAACACCAAAAATCAAGAAACCAGAATTCTAAAACGCATTAGGGGTTGTGTATGGAATCCAAGGCAAAAAGAGGATAAATTCCAACAATCATGAAATTACCTAGACGATTCACTATCCGGTGCACATGAGTGTCCACCGCTATGCCTTCAACTTTGTTCCACGCGATTTGTAAAACAAGATGAGCCATTTTTGGGCCAACTCCAGCTAATGAACAAAGATCTAAAAATTCAAACTATTACATATGCTATTAGGAACACACTTGTTTAACGTCAAACGTCTTCAAGAGTGTAAAACTCACCTTCAATGTGTGTCGGAACATTCACACTGTCATACTTCTCCTTAGTACTGTCTGCCCGCCTTCTTGACGAAAACTGCCTTCTTCTTAAAAAAGAAGGGTTTCGGAACACACTACCACTACTATTACGGCTCCCAGACAATACCTAACCATTTGGGCGCGGCCGCGGCCGAGTTGATAGGTGCCCGCGAACTCAGCACAGCACAGTTCGCGGGCACCTCGAGTGCGTTTTCAACGGTTCGCGGCACAATCGACTCGGCCGCATTCGCGCCGCGGCCGCGCCCAAATGGTTAGGTTTTCTGGGAGCCCAACTAATACAGAAGAGGAAAACTTTTACCTTGTAGAAGAACAATTACCTTGTAAAATCCTACTGGACACAAAAGTTTCTCCAGTTCAGCCGTTGGGATTTCTATCATAGCATCAACGTTGCAGCCGTGTTTTCGCAGTCTCTGAAACATAACGATTCCAAAGCACCAAAATCAATGGTTGTATAGCCATCGATCTTTGTGATCGCAGTCGTATCGTTTTCCATCCGCGTGATTTGCGCTGCGGTGCCCGCCCTACATGGGGCCGTATGCTGAATGTTGGGTAGGGGACGGGGATGGGTAAATGTTGGGGAGGTTCGTCGCAGGACCCACTGGGCAACGGTCGCACCTTTGATTTTGCAGCTTTGTTTCCATCCTTTTACTGTTTCTGATTGTATATTCGCACGTAAATACCTTTCTTTACACCAAAAACAGCGATGAAAGAATGGAAACAAAGCTGCAAAATCAAAGGTGCGGCCGTTGCCCAGTGGGTCCTGCGACGAACCTCCCCAACATTTACCCATCCCCGTCCCCTACCCAACATTCAGCATACGGCCCAAGGATTCTGGCATTATGCATTCACGACTGCAAACGCGAAGTCCGACACTTCTCCAAAAACAAAGCCAAAACGATGAATACTCTAACACATACATACATAGCAGCCGAGGTGACTTCATCTTTCGTTTGGCTTGACAGCATCAACGCTACTAGCGCTTGGAAACGAAAAGTCTAAATGTATGAAATGATGTTTAATCGTAAAATAAAATTATATGACGTCACCAAACATGCTGTGATAGCGACCAACATTTAGAATCGAATTTGTGAAGTGATTAGATTCTTCCGAGTTCCTCACCTTAGCTGAAGCTAACGGGTCGGGTAACTTATGGCATCCCATGGTATCCACAGGAGCATCACCTGACTTGCGCATCTCCGTGATTCGCTCGACCTGAATGGATTCACATCCAGAGAATCATCATTTTAGGTTCTTCACGTCGTGTGAAAAGCAGCAATTTCACGAAACAAAGCATAAGGTTAGTATTCGACATGGAATTAGCAATAACTTCTAAAGAATTAAAAGAAAGGTTTTACTAAACAACTAGTAGAAGCCGAAAAAATCATTGAATTCACTGTACCTGTAGTTTCCATAGATCCTCAATATCACAAGATTTTCTTTCAACGACAGAGCAAACCTTCTTCTCGACAACAGTTTCCGTCAACTTGATTTTTGCCGATCTTTTCATCCTATAAAGTATGGTATAAGCTAGATTTCAAGCTGTGACAATGGAGACACGATTTACTCGTGTTACTATGGACTCTTTGGAAAATGGTCAGTAAAAAGCGATATAAAAAGCGGATATAGTAAGACTGCGATCATACTTTGCGACCGATTTATGAAGGAGCCAGGGTACTAGAATGCCGAAGATTTGATACGACCTAAGCAGCTTTTAGAACCTCAAAGAGCATAGTCATTTCTCTTCTTTCTTCGTCTTTCCCTATCCAATAATTGGAATTCGGGTACTATGTGAGTTCAGGGAGTTGGGGGGAGGAGGGGAACCTTGCGGCGCTCGCCCGTCTTGCGGCTTCTCCGATGGCACTAAGCCTGAACCTATGAAGGAACCAATGAAATATTTATTTACGTCTTTATCTACCGCTCTACCTGTTGTGAAACTTTCTATACTTTAAAGCAACAGTCCAGGCAGGGTTTCAACTACTTGGTCATTAGGCGGTCAAAACATGCCCCAGCCCAACTAAAGTTTATAGGAAATGTCTTTAATTTCAAAACCTACCTCTAAAATGCGCTGGAAGGGGTCGAAGTCCTCTTGGAGGGGGCGGATCACCCATAAAGAGGCGGATCGCCCAACATACGCTGTGCAGAGCGCGTGCTCGACTAGCGGTCGTTGCGGGACCGCCGCGCTGTATGAGGTCGATTCCATAAGAACGCAATTGAAGCGCTTCAATTTCGATTGCTGGCAAATAGTTATGTATTTGCAAGCATGCATGGCTATTTGCCAGCAGTCAATTGGAGCGCATGTACTACGGGCAGGTTCGGACAACTCGTCCAACACACATCTCCCTAAACGGCCAGGGGGAGTCCCTGTCTAAGCCCCTGCCCGACGTTTTTTTCTACTTTTTCTTTCTCCATTGACCAACTTCTCACCTGCAACGTCATTATAGGTGGTCCTTACCCGCGAATTCGTTCCTGGATTGTGTGCAACTCTATGGTTACGATGGCTTAGAGGCGAGGCGGGATCCAGGACATGATTAATTACTCACCGTGGGCAAAACAATGGCTCCCCCACTTTCTTCACGATTTGGGGCGCGGCCGCGGCAAACCCGGCCGAGTATGCGCCATCAGCTTACCTGAGTATTCGACGTTACATTACGGCATCAGCTTGCCTGAGTATTCGACGTTACATTGCGATACGTAATGCTACGCGCCAGGTTTGCCGCCGGCCGCCTGCCCTACCTTGTGAAGAAGTGGGGGCGGCCCAATGGATTGCTGCTAAAATCACCAAATTACATTTTTACAAGCTACCCGCCAATTCTTCCTAGGCTTAGGGCTGCCATCGTCGCGTCGTAACGGTCGCACAGCGCCACAGCTCCCACGTTAGATACGTATCGATCGTCGAATACTCGGGCGTCTGACAATCGATACGCTACGATCGTTACGATCGGGCGACCGACTATGCCTACGCTTCTCAGACTCAGTGCAATCGCGCTTTAGTATGGTGTCAGAGTCCGCGATCCGTCGCAGATTTCGCTGAGTTGCGCGATTTGCGCGATTCACGCGACGGGCCACGGAAATCACAAGTGCCCGATCAATACTGCAAGGTGTTCTCTCCAATCCTGCCGCCACTTTTTGCTTGCTTGATAGTGATGGCTGGAATGACGACTGCTCATGATTCCACTTGTTTCATATTCAGTGTTTCAAATGTTCACACACTTGCAATTTTTGCGATCCGTCGCGTGAATCGCGCAAATCGCGAAAATCAGCGAAACCTGCGACGGATCGCGGACTCTGACACCAGCCTTGAAAAATCCGCCGGAAGAGCCGCTAGCATTGCCTAGTCCCCAGCAGGGTGAATATCGCTTGAGGATTCCTCAACGGCACGTCGAGGATTCTCTGCCCGATCAGAGACGATCTCTCGCGCGGACATTCACACTCGCCATGCCGTGCCGTCTGTGCTCTCCGCGCGGATGTTCACTCTCGGCACTACTCTCGCATGGTAGAGAGCTATGGTCGAGGATTTCCTCGACCGTTATTCACCCTGCTGTCCACCCTAACTAACTCAAACAAGAGAATTAGCACCAAAAACCTGGAAAAATCATCCGCAAAGTTCGCCGGTATAGACGTAGCGGCGAGCACAAAAAGTGACAAAATAAAGACAGGACCAACCTCAGTAATGTTGCCCTTTCAAAGAAAGCACAAGCAAACAAGAGGTTAACTTCTAGTTTCTTCAGGAGTGACCTGGCCTTGCTTGTATATCTCCAGGCTATCTGAAAACTCATGATAAAAAAAAAACTCATGATAAAAAAGGTCCTGAATCGCGTCCGAAGGCAAACGATGTTAACAAACGACACATATTCACTTGTTTACAACCATATCTCTCAAAATACATTGGTTTTCAAACAAGTTAAAAATAAACCGAAAGAAGGATGGAAGTAGAACGGAAAAGCGATGAGGAATCCACCCGGAAGACGCGCGCTGCTATACATCTTCATAGAAAAAAAAGGGGTCGTAACGGTGTAATTGCATAAGGATTGGACCTCTTCCAAAAAACGTCTATAAAAAACAGTGCCTGCTGTGATTTCAAACGCGTAGGGTCTCACCGGGTATGGTTCAATAGGGCAGGAAGCGGCTTTTTCGCGAAACGTTTTTCGCTGTGGATCCTCGGGTCCACTGATGATCAGCGATGGACCTGAGGTTGCCGCAGCGAAGTTCTTTCGCGCCTTTGTGAGCACATGTGGGGCGGGCAGCCGAAAATTTGGCGTCAAATTCACGGATCTGCTCAGTTTGGGAGTAAGCTTGGAGGAGGAAGAGGGAATCCGAGCTGCGTAAGCAATTTTATTCGCTCAGGAATTCGTCCCTTTGCGTTAGGCGCTTAGTCGTGACCTTCCGACAGACTACGGCCCCCGGAGGCACATTGCGCCGCGCTGCGAAACCCTAAAAAGTCGCTTTCTGTCCTATGGGTGAACCCACATATCACCCCCCTCCCCCCCAAGTACCACTTGGACAGTCACAAGGCAGTGCTGAACTACCACGCAAACAATGATGATTTGTCGAACAGCCAGCCAAGAGTACGGCAAAATACTTCTTGTAGTTAGAATAGGAAATTAAGGGAAGGACGTGAAAATCATAACCACAAAGGCGGAGACTTTTACCGCAACTCTTCCGTTCCGCGCTATCTAGCTTCTGCAGACTTCGGCAGCTACCGTACCACAATACTCTAGCCATTTGAAAACAGGGATTCACCATCGGTTTCAGTATGTGATTGCAACCGCGTTTGACTTAATTTCCATCCAATGAGAGAATGGCGGAACATTTTTCTTGGCGTGCGCCACGCATTTGTCTTCCATTCAGCATCATGAACCAAGTTGAATGCGGGGCATTACAACGACCCCAAACGGGTTTGCCCACATTGCAAATTTTAAGTTTCCAGAGGAATTGGGTAATATTTTATAGAACAGACAGATAGCCTGCCCAGCTTTATCCAGATCCGATCCGGCGACCATGGGTGCTGAAGCAGCGCCTCGTGTTGCTGCACTAAAAGCTCCTTTGAGCAAATTGGGAACTATATTTTATCTCCTTTCGTCTGGTAATTTTCCCAAATTTCTCTGCTAGAACGGTCTGGCAGAAGCTACGCTGGAATTTTTTTGCTGAATTGCATGCGTATGGTTGCTAAAGTTAGGTAATGCACGAGTCGCATTATTTGGCGTGCAGTCACAATATTTGAGAACTGAGCGCGCGGTCGCAATGCGGCCGGACTTAAAGGCACAGGTAAGGACTAGATTTCTAGAGAAATTTTCCCCTAAAGTGAGGTAGCAAGACCCAAATTGCAGGAGTGGCAGTACTTTCCAACTTGGAGCGTGACAAAAGAGTTAATGCTTTCTCATTATTCGCAGCACACGTTTCCTCGGCGCTCTCTCGCGTGCGACGTGCTCTCTTGCGTTTTCCCTCTCCCCGCAGCGCTGTGTTCCTCATTGGCCAATGTCAGACTTTGCGATTGGAGCGATTTTGCACCAATTGCAGGAGCGACGGTCGCTCGAGCAATTGGTGCAAAATCGCTCCAATCGCAAAGTCTGACATCGGCCATTGTATCACAGTCGAACTCCAAAGAAAAATCTTGTTGTTCCAACTGTGTTGTCTCATTTCCCATAAAGGTTCCTATTGGCACTTCTTGTTCGATTTTCGATTAAAATAACACATCAATTCGATAGCGTCCCGTATTTTTGAACATTTGTGATTATCATTATTAAAATCACTGAAGCAACAGATAGAGGAGTAGACGCTACTATTGAAATTCCAAAGAGAGGACTGGAACGTTTTATTATCACACGAACACATCACATGAAAGGCTGACAATTAAGTTTACATCAATAGAGTCGTCAAAATATGACAAAAATATCAAATGTGTGAAAGATTGCGGATGGT